CGACGCCCCTGTCCCCCCGGCCCCCTCCATCCTTCCTTTCCGCCTCTCGGAAGACCCCTCCCCCTTCCCCCCCTATCGCGCTCCAGAAACTACGTGCATCCCCCCCCCTCCCGCCCTTCTACCCCCTACAGGGAAGCGAAGAGGGTCGGTGAGAAGGCAATGGAGCTTCGAAAACCAAAGGGGCGCCAAGAACTTCGAGGGCGCCGAAAACCACGGAGGGGCGCCGAAAAGCAAAGGGGCACTGAAAAGCAAGGGGGCACAGAACATCAAAGGTGCGCCGAAAACCAAGGGTGCGTCGACAGCCAAAGGAGAGCCGACAACAAAAGACACCGAAAAACACAGGAGCGCCGACAACCAAATGGGCATCGAGCACCAAGAGGTCGCAGAAAAACCCAAGGGGCGCCGAAAACCACAGGGGCGCAGAAAGCCAAAAGAGCCAGCGCCGACAACCAAAGGGGCGCCGAACACTAAAGCGCGCCGACAACCAAACGGGCGCCACCAAAAGAGGCGCCGAAAACCAAAGGGACCCCACCGAAAGGGGCGCCGAAGACCAAAGGGGCGTCGAAAACCAAAGGAACACCGATACCCAAAAGGGCACCGAACACCAAGGGAGCGCCGAAAACAAAAAGGGCGTCGAAAACCAAAGGGCCGTCGAAAACCAAAAGTGGCGCCGAAGACCAAAGGGGCGCCGAAAACCAACTTGGCGCCAAAAACCAAGAGGGCGCCGAAAACCAAAAAAGCGCCGAACACCACATGTTCGACGAAAGCCGAAGGTGTGTCGGAAACCAAGAGAGCGCCGAACACGAACGATGCACTGAAAACCACATGAATGCAGAAATCCAAACGGGCACAGAAAACCACAGGCTTGCCGAAAATCACACGGGGGCCGAAAACGAAAGGGGCGCCGAAGGCCAAAAGGGCGCAGAAAATCAGTAAGCGCCACAATAACAAAGTGGCGCCGAAAACCGGAGGGGCGCGAAAAAATCAAAGGAGCGCCGAAAACCACAAAAGGCGCCGAAACCCAAAAGGGCAAGGTAGCTTCCAAGCTCCCCTCTTCAGCCAAGCCCCTCCAGCTGGAACTGCCAACCGAAGGAAGGAACAACAAAAAGGCGCCGAACAACCAGACGGACACCGCAAACCAACGATGCGCCGAAAATCAAAACCAAAAGGGCGCCGACCACCGCAAAGGCGCCGAAAACAGGAAGGAGCGCCGAAAACCAAAAGAGCACAGAAAACACGAGCGATGCGCCGAACATCAAAATGAAGGGGCCCTGGGACACACAAATAAACACAGAAATAACAGGATCCTCAATGTTGTCCAATATTTTCTGGGTATTTGTCTTCCCCCCACTTCCCATATTTTCCTATATTTTCCTAGGAATCGGCGATTCATTGTGTCTGTGTTGTTCCCCCTCCTGACAACAAGGGGCACCGGAAACCAAAAGGGGCGCCGACATCCCAGGGGGCGCCAGAAACCAAGAGGGCCGCCAACGCCAAAAGAGCGCAACAAAAAAACCAGAGCGGCGCCGAAAACAAAAAGAGGGTGCCGAAAACCAAAGTGGCGACGAAAGACAACGATAAACCCGAAAAACAAAAGGGGCGCAGGAAACCAAAGGGGCGCCGAAAACCAAAGGGGCGCCGAAAACCGCAGGTGCGCCGAAAAACAAAGTTGCGCTGAAAACCCAAAGTCGCCGAAAACCAACGATGCGCCAGGCGCCGACAACTCAAGGTGCGCAGAAAACCAACGATGCGCCGAAAACCAAGACGGCTCCGAAAACCAACAGGGCTCCGAAAACCAACAAGGCGTCCAAAACCACAAGGACGCTGAACCCCCAAGGGGCGCTGAAAACCAAAGGGTCGCTGAAAACTAGGAAGGCACTGAAACCCAAAGGGGCGCCGAAAATCAAAAGAACGCCGAACATGACAGAGGCGCTGAAAACAGGAAAGGGGCACCGAAAACCAAAAGAGCACAGAAAACACAAGCGATGCGCCGAAAATCAAAAGGGGCGCCGGAAACCAAAAGGACACCGAAAACGAAAGATGCACGCCGAAAACGAAAGAGTCACCGAAAGCCAACAGGGCGCCGAAAACCAAGGGGGCGCCGAAAACCAAGGGGCGCCGACAAACCGAAGTGGCGCCGATAACCAAAAGGACACCGAAAACCAAAGAGGAGCCGAAAACCAAAAGGCAGTCGAAAACCTAAGGGCCGCCGAAAATCCAAAGGAGCCCCGAAACCAAAAGGTTGCCGAAAACGAACGATGCGCAGAAAACCAAGAGGGCACCGAAAACGAACATGGCGCAGGCAACCAAAAGGGCGCCGAAAACCAAGGGGGCGCCGAAAACCAAGGGGCGCCGACAAACTGAAGTGGCGCCAACAACCAAAAGGGCACCGAAAACCAAGGAGAGCCGAAAACCAAAAGGGCGCCGAAAACCAAAGGGCCGCCGAAAACACAAAGTAGCCCCGAAAACCAAAAGGTCGCCGAAAACGAATGATGCGCAGAAAACCACAAGGGCACCGAAAACGAACATGGCGCAGAAAACCGAAGGAGCGCAGAAAACCAAAATGGCGCCGAAAGCAAAAGAACCGCCGACATAAAAACGGGCGACGAAAACGAAAGGGACACCGAAAACCAAAGGAACGCAGAAAACCATAAAATGGGCGCCGAAAACCAACGATGCGCCGATAACCAAGATGGCAACGAAAACCAAAGTGCCGCCGAAAACCAAAGCCTTAAGTAGCTTCGACGCCTTCCCCCTTCAGACAGGGCCCTCCAGTTAGAAATGCCAACAAAAAGAGGAGAGGGGGGGGGGGCAGCTTCGTCGGAAGTCCCCCCCTTTGGAAAAGGGAGTCTGGGCTTACCCCGGGCTTCGTCGCAAGCCCCCCGAACCTCTAGCCAGACACCCCCCAGCTACAAAATCCAGATAAAAGAGGGGGGAGTAGCTTCGGAAGTCCCCCCCTTTGTAAAGGGGAGCCCGGGCTTGATCCCGGCCCCGAAAAAGAGGGGATGAGGGGTAGCTTCCAAGCCCTCTCCCCTCTTAGCTATGGCTCCTCCAACTAAAACTGTAGACAAAGGGGGGAGGGGAGGAGGGTAGCTTCGGAATCCCCCCCGGCCCTTCCCAGGGAAGGGGGGGGGGGTAGCTGAAAGCTGAGGTTCCCCTTTTCTTATTCCCGGCGCTCCGTCGGCGCTCTTTCCTAAAGCGCGTTTCTTTATGTTCGGCGATGACGGGCGTCGTGGGGGGGGGGGGGCGACGAAGGGGTATGACGTAACGCCCCCCCTTTTGCACTGTGGCGTTGGCACTGCAGCCGCGCCCGCGCGCGCGACGCGACGAGCGACGAACAACGACGACGACGACGACGACGACGACGACGACGACGCGAGCAGCATGTAGGTGGCGATATGCCCCACTGCGCCTGTGTACACCACAACGCCCACGTGCACCGCAGCGCGCGTGTATACCACAGCGCTTGCGTACACCGCAACAAGCGTGTGCAACACAGCGCCTGTGTACACCACAAAACTCGCGTACACTACAGCGCCAGTATACATGTGTACACCGCAGCTACCATGTGCAACACAGCGCCGGTGTACACCACAGTACTTGCGTGCACCGCAACGCCTGTGCACGCCACGGCGCGTGTCTACACCACAGCATCTGCGTGCAACGCAGCGCTGGTGTACACCACAACGCCTGCGTGCATAGGACAAGTAGAAGTAGCATGTACGTGAGGATCTGCTGCGGACAACTAGACGCCACGCCAGGAAAGTCTTGAGCATCGAATACGACGTTTTTCCCTCTTCCCTCCTTCTCTACCTCCACCACCTCTTCCTCCGCCTCCGCCTCCTCCTCCTCCTCCTCCTCCTCCTCTTCCTCCTCCTCCTCGTCGTTACCCCCTGTCGTGCGGGTTGGTGCTACAGCGCACGTGCGCATCTCAGCGCGCACCGCAAAATGGTCGATTGAATCGGTCCACTTGGTTTTCGTGCGGCTTAGACGAAGATGGGAGGAGTTAGGGTGATGCGGGCGGGTTCGGGAGGACTCGTAGATTCCAGCGGCGCTCCGGTGTCCACAAGGATCAAGCTCTATTTTTCAATGGAATCCAGAAACGCTCCGTTTTGACATAAGGATTCGTTGAAACATTCTATATGCAACAGTGGTGTTGTGTTGCACACGGTTGCTGTGGTGCACACAGGCGCCGTGGTGCACAGAGGCACTGCAATACACGCAAGCATTGTGGTGTACACTGGTGCTGTGTCGCACACGGCTGATGTGGTGTACGCAAGCGTTGTGGTGTGCACAAGAGCTTTTGTGCCCGCAGGCACGGTGGCACAAACTGACGCTGTGTTGCACGCGGCTGCTGTGGTGTACATAGGCGGCGTGTGCACACGCGCTGTGGTGCACGCAGGCACTGTGGTGTACACAGGCGTTGTGGTGCAAATCGCCCCCTACATGCTTTCGCTACCCGTCCTCCGTCATTCCCAGGCATTCCCAGACGCCGCCGGCGCGAAACGTGACGACATCGACCCCCTTCCACCCCCCCCCGTAGATGATTGCCGTCATTGGCCCAGAATAAAAACAGGCTTCAGCCGCGCCCGCGAGCACGACGACGATGAACGACGAACGACGACGACGACGACGACAACGACGACGACGACGACGACTGCGGACCAAACTTCTATGCGGATTCCTACGCGGACACCTACTCGGATCCCGAAACACACGGCGGCAGTGCCCAGAGCGCACTGGGGGGGGAGCGTTACGTCTTGGGGGAGGGGGGACGGGGGCCATGACGCTCGTCATGCCCCAAGCAATAAAGAAACGGGCTCCCACATATTGGCCGACACGGTGGAGCCGTCAATGTATCAGCCTGAACGGCATGCGCGCCGTCACTTTGTTAAATTGAGCGGCTCGGGCACCGCGACGCTGCCGCCGCCTTCGGCGAGCGGCTCCGGCGTCTGCGTGCCCGCGACTGGAGCTCACCCGAGGTGCCCGCGAAAGGCGCCTTACAGATTAACGAAGCCGCGCCTGGAAGCCTTGACCACCGAGCTTGGCACGTGGAGCTTGGCCGGGTCGATGCGGCGTCTCACGGGACCCCTCTCAGCCTGGTCCTCTGGCACCGGCTGACAATCATGTCCAGCGTGGGCAATGTAAAGAGCACGATCCTCATGGTCACGTCCAACGTGAAAGCTCGTGTAGTAGCGTCGGAAGAAGGGCATGCCCAAGATCCAGAGGGGCCCGTGCGCGGATTCGGAGAACGACTCCATGAGCAATATGTGGCACATCGCCACGTCACTGGAGCCGTTATGACTAACATTCAGCTTGCGCAAGCGAACGAAGCTCTGCAGATACTGTGGCACACTGCCAGCTACCTCGCCCACATAAGCGTCCGACGGAAGGTAGAACTTCTGTCCGCCCAACTCGAACACTAGATCAGGGAGCTCGTGCAGGTTACTGCAGTCCGTGTGCAAGTTCTGGATTGTTTTCTCGAACACGTCCATTATGGAACTGGGAACGGCGAGGAGGGAGGTCCCGCTATCCATCAGCGCACTGCAGCCGCCAGAACAGCCAAGGCTGGTGTCTCCGCGATGGCTTCCGCCCTCCAGCCTCACGTTGGCAAGTGCCACGCTCCACGTGTGCTTGCCGAGGATCTGCACCCGAGTGAAAAGGTGCGGGTGGACCTCATGAGTGGTGTCCTGCCAAGTAATGTAGCCATCAGAACCGGTCGTCTTCCCGAGACACATCGAAAACGTCCGAATGTCGAAGTTATCAAGCATTGTGGGGGTTCTGCTGATCTCAACCGCTGCTGCGATGGACTCCTGCGCCCGCTTCATCAGAGACTCGGGCGGCTTGGAGCTATTCCGGTAGTACTCTGTGACATTGCCGAATGCTTCCTCGGCAGGGACATGTGCAACTCTAGGTCGTACATGTTACCGAGGGCGAGAAGAAAGCAAGCATAATGATGCAAGAACGTGCGTATGTTGAGTTTGCCGGAAGACGCAATCACCACCAACTCACCAACTGTTGGACTCACGCGCGCATTTATTGCGCAAAGGCACTGGGCCACCACCGCCTTCCTGGCGCGCGGAGCACGCTGGGGGCAGCGCTGAAGGAGCCGCGCAAGGCGCGGGGCAATATTACGAGTGCTTACCCCGCCTGCCGTTCTTGGAGAAGGAAGGAAGACGCCAGCTAGGACAGATCGTCTTTCGCTGGCGCTGTGCTTCGCAAAACACCTCCCCCTCGCCAGAACCTGGACCCCCGCCTGCTCCAAAACCAGAACCCGTCCCCCTTCTGGCAGGAAAATCCCTCAACTCCCCACCCCCAGCACACGACGACTGCGAAGGTGACGACGCGGACGACGACGACGCCGCCGCTGGTGCTGACGACGGCGGCGACGACGACAATGAGAACGACGACGACGACGACGACGAAGACAACGGGCGGATCGGTGGGGGGGCAAGACACTCAAGCGGACGGGCGGACCGCTCCTTGACAGGGCGACGATTGTTGACAAGAAGCGACTGAGAAACCAGAGGCAACGACGACGACGACGCAAATACAGGTGGGACATCAAAACGGGTGGAAGGGTGGGGCATGAACTGGAAATCACGCGTGTTGATACGACAGTGCAGTGCTGCGAGGGACAACAATGACAGACTGCGGGAACAATGAACACGGTGACGACGGGCGGGACGTAAAGCGGGCGGGCGGGACTGTTAAAGTCAACCTCGCTCGTTCATGGGTCAAGGCTCGTCGTCGTCAGTGTCGGGGTCATTGCCAGCGCCGTCGGCGTCAGCGTCAGCATCGTCGTCAACCTCGTCGTGAACGTCGTCGTCGTCGTCGCTTGCGTCAAGAGGCTCCACCCGCTGCCGTGCAGGAGTGGGGCCAAGGCGGCCCTGCTCGGCGGGGCAGGCCGAAAGAGGCGACGCACGCGTGGGAGGCGGCCGTGGCACCGCCAGCAGGCGGCGGGGGCGCGCTGGCGGCTGCGAGCGCTGCCGAGGGCAGCCGCTGCAGAGGAGGAGGCGGGCGGAGGGCCGAGGCTCAAGTCGGGCCCGTGCCCCACAGGGGGATTCTGGAGGAAAAATGAGACATGCTAAACAAATACGCCCAAATGGTCAAGCACTACTCTCAAAAGATCGTCCCCAGACTATTGTTGTTTAGGCTATCTCTGAAGACTCCCCCTGTAGAGGGACGGGCCCGACTTGAGCCGAGGCGGCGAGGCACGGCGGCCCAGGCCAGAGCTCCCGGACCCCAGCGGCGCGCCGCCGACGGCCTCGACGAGAGCGCGGAATAGCGGCGGAAGGGGCCCGGGAGGCCGATGCGGGAGCGAGGCGGCCGAGGCGGCGCCCGCGAGCGCGCGCGGAGGGGCCGCGCGGGGCCGCGAAGGGGCGAGGGCCGAGGCGCCCAGCGGGCGGCCGCGGGCGCCAGCGCCGAGCCCGACGGCGGAGGCGAGGAGCGAGAGCTGGCCACCGCTCGGGCGTCCATTCCCAGTGCTTGTCTCGGCTTCGTGCGTGGCTTTTCTCGCCAGATGATCGGGGATGCTCCTCCTCGCCGACGGAAACATGCACACGTCCGAGCGATGCCAAAGAGAAGGGGGGGCGGTCGCCATCCGTGCGCGCCGCCGCGGGCGATGCGAAGGTGGGGGGAAACCAGAGGGTGCCAGGGACAGTGCGGGGAGGGTACTGATCAGGATCCCCTGCATACCCAGCGGCGCCCGCAGAACACGTCCTTTCCCGACGGTGCACACGCACCGACCCCGGCCGGGCCCTGCCTGGGCCCCGGGCCCCGGGTCGGTGCCTTTGCACATGGGCAGCGGGCGTCGCCCGAAGAGGGCAGGCACCATGACGTGCAGTCAACCTGTATAGTAAGGATGCGCGATGAGGATTCAGGGGCCTGGGAAACTCATTTCAAAGTGTTCCGAGCGGGTCGCGGTCAACGAAAGTGGCCAGGGATGGACCGAGGAGGCAAAGGATGCAAGGGTGCCCTAGGGAAGGTTGCCCATCCTTACTATGCGGGTTGACTGTAACAGGCGCGCATGCGTCTGCGTCACCTCCCCTTGGTCCTCCGCGGCGTCCCACGAGTCCGCCGCGGGCGTCTCGGGGGGCCCGACGCCGACGATGGACTGGAATGCCGCGTTCTGCAGGACTGGCATCTTTGCGCTGACCACCTCCCAGAAGGTCTGATTCTTTTCTTGGGAAGAACAAACAGCAGCACGAACATACGGGCGACGAAAAGAGAGGGGTATCACGCGAGATGGCGGAGCGACCTTACGCGGCGGCCTGCGCGGGCCGCCAGCGCGGCACGCTGCAACGGGAACGAGGGCGCTTAACGAGCGACCTCTCGCGGGCAACTTCCGCGCCAATGCCAGTGAAGACGACCCCGTTTCGGGAAGACGTACGACGCGAGTTTGGAGGAATCGAATTGGCATCACGGGGCCATTAGGGAAATGACGAGACCCAATCTGAAACTTGACGCGGACTTCCACTGCAAACATCCCACGGAAACTGGACCGTCAAAACCCGGGACGGGTCCGTCAAAAAGCGTCGGCAAAGCCGAGTTCCAGCGAACTCGAGTCTTGCGTGACCCCGATGTTCTAGCGTCGCTCATGCCAACTTTCAGATGGCCGTGCAGAGATCTTGGCTGGGCGCTGCCCCCGCCCCCTCCCACGGCGCGCTCTCCGCGGCGCGCGCGGCCCTGCGCCTGCGCGCAGGGAAAGGGGCCAGCGCAGACAAGAGCGCTCCGCGCGGACCCCCGAGAGTGTTTGTATGCTCACGCAGATGTTTCTTCTGTGATCGGAAACAGCCCAGGCCAAGAGAATCGGCTGCCTCTACAGAATAGGTGTCGCCGCTGCCGTACTGCTGGACGGTCATCAGCTTACCCGACGTGTAGCTGGAGCTCTGCAGCGGGTCGTACTTGCCCGCCAGACCGCACGAGCCGCAGAGGTGCGAGAACACCACCAGCTCGAAGGAGCCCGTGTCGACTACGCCGGTGACAGCTGGCGGCGCGCACGTGAGGTCTGGCCGAAAGATACGATGTTCCAAGAAGGGAGGGGGCTACTGAAAAGGTGAGGGGCAACGATGGGGGACTGGCTCAGGGGGGAGCGACCCGGAATCGGCGATACATCGCTATAATGGATCGGCGAGGTGGGCCATCGGGCCCCAGATCGGCGGTCCATGGGCAACTGGGGGTCGATACCTTCCCCCATCCAGCCCAATCCCGCCCAACCGCTGCCCCCGAGAAGCGACCGGAGGCCGTGGACGGGGCCGTCCCTGGGAGGCGGAGGACTCGGTCCGAGGAGTGCGCACGCTCTCGCTCAAAGGCCCCCCCCCCAGCCGGCCGCAGAACCTCTCCGCGCGCCGCCAGCATGGTCTGGCCGCCCACGCTCAGGTACGTGACGTACTGCACGTCCCCGTAGTTCAGCATCTGCACCACGTTCTTCTTCGCGCCCTCGTCTCGGCGGCGCGACCTCCGGGGCCAGTCTGCCAGCCCGAGCTCGTCGGGCCTCTCCCCGGCCTGCAGGGCCGCTGCGCCCTCGCCGAGGCCGCCCGCGCTGGAGCTGCCGCTCGTCTGCAGCAGTGACGCGGTGCTGCTTGGTCGCGGGCCGCTGAGGCCCAGCACGGCTGTGGTCCACGTCAGCGACACGGCCAAGACGGCCTTTGAGCTCGGCGGCATGCGGCCTGATGGATAGATAGCCCAAAGCGGATCGGGCCTTCTTCAAAGTACGGTAATAAACGTAGAAGCGGTAGTGATGATGATAGAAACTAAATGTTAAATATGTTGAGCCAAGAGGCTACGTACGCCACTCCGCAATGGACAACAGAAGACTTGAGAAGCGATGCCGGCTTGCTAAGAGGAGGACCGCTATGCGGACAGAGGAGGACGGAGGTAGAATGAAGGATGAAAGGACAAGCGAGGAAAGAGGATAATGCAGGAGGGATGGAGGGACGAGGACGGCGTCTATGCACCACACCATGTCTGGACTCCCTTCAGGCCCCGCTCCGGCGCGGTACGGTGCACAATTCTTCGGCCCCGAGGGACGAACAATCAACCATGCACCGCATCATCCCCAAGTCGAGGATTCAGTCGGGCCTTTCCCTCTGAGGGAAAGACAAGATGGTTAAAACAATTGTCTGGGGTCTACTTTTTGTTAATTGTTTGACCCTTGTGGAATATGTTTGTGCTATTTTTTATTTCTCCTCCAAAATCCCCCTGTAGGGGGACAGGCCCGACGCGAGCAGAGGATCGACAACGCCTCGGGAGGCGCCAGCGCCGTGCGGGGCAGGCACGGCCGTCCGCGGAGGGCGCCTCCGAGCAGAAGCCGAGAGCTCCGCCAGGAGACGGCACGCAGAAGGGCGCAGCGCGTGCCGCGAGGCGGCCCTGGGGCGCCGAGCTTCCGTCGACGAGCGCGCTCCACTGCTCGCAGAGCAGCCGCTCGCCAACGGCCTCTTGGATCCCCCGCGGGGGGTCTGCGACAGCCTATGCCAGAGCAGACAGAGTGTTTTGCTCGGACGTCTGTGAGCAGGCACTCTTTGCGAGCCGTGGAGCGCGCTCGGCGATCTCGAGGGTCCTGCGAGACCGCCACCCCGGCGGAAGAGACGGCCACGTGCGGGCGCCCACGGGCCGGGAAAACCGAGCGCCGCCAGCCAATGTCGAGTCGGGCCTGTCTCCCTGCAGGGGGGGGTTGGAGGAACATTACGCACTGGTCAAGAAATATCCCCAAAAGGGTAAAACAATAATCAACAATTGGTCCCCAGACTATTGTTTGACTATTTTTGAATGTTCCTCCTGTAGAGGGACAGGCCCGACTCAGAGCCAATGACACAAAGAAGGACAAGGTACCCATGCCGCTATCCTTCGCTTCCTGCGAGGCCCCCGTCGCCATCGCCGGATTCGCCTGGAAATCCTGGTCAGAGCGCACCCTAGGACAAAATCCAGGGAGTAGCGGTATCGGTACCTCCTGATTTCCAATATGACTTCGACACGTGCAGTCACAGAGGCCTCGTAGATTGAATCCGAGCAGGTGGGGTCGGAAGATCGCGCCGCATCGCCGATATATCGCCGACGCATCGGCGATGCATCGGCAACTTCGGCAATGCATGCGAGACGTCGGCGTGGGGAAAATCGGGCTCCACATCGAGCCGCATCGGTGATGCGGCGCGATCCTCCGACCTCGTCCACTCCGACCCCATCCGGGAGGCCTAAAGGTTATCGTGTTACCATCGGCAGCGCCAAGTAAGGATCGCAGGGGCTTTTGCAGGCCACGTCGGCCACGACTAGGTTCCCAGGCCCAGCTCTGAGGATCGGCCCGAGAATCAGAGCCCCTCCTGAGCCCCAAGAAGTCCGTATTTCCGCGTGTTGATGTTGTGCGGCAGGCTCGTCTTTCGAGACGCATGGCGCGTTGGAATTCCGACACCGCGCGGCCCGTCCAGCCTCGAGGGGTCGCACCTTTCTGACAGCACGGATCGTTCCTGTCGGCCGATTCCAAGCCCGGAGCGGCGTTCAACCTTGAACTGGACGCACGCGCCGGGGTGTTGAGCAAGGACCGACCGTCCCGGCGTTCCTGTAGGCCTACCACGACATGTTCTTAGAACCCAAAAATGTTCTAAGAACAAAACCAATGCTCTTAGAACATAAACCCGGCGTGTTACAACAAGACAGTCTCGGCCAGAAATGTCCTAAGAACACTTCGTGCAGACCACAGAAGGTTCTTAGAACGTCGTTTGGTAGGCCTGTAAGGGAGCTAGAACGCTTCGCCACTGTTTGAGGGTGGCCGCCGCGTCGACTCGGCGCGAACCTTCCGTAATAATGCCCGCCCCTCGCCGCCGATAGGATGCTGCTCAGTGCGCGGCCCAAGAGGCCCCCACCCCTTCTCGAAGGGTAGTTTTTAGGTCGGGCATGCCCCCCTGCAGGCTAAATTTTGGGCGAAACATAAAACATGTAAACACATAGTCAAAACTGATATCTGAAAATAACCGAAGAAATCGTCCCCAGACTATTTTGCACTATTCTTGAAGGTTCAGAGGGACAGGCCCGACTTAAGGTCAGTTAGTTGTTCGCCCTGGCCCGGGGCCCGACAGCGGGTCCCCCAGCGGCAGAGATCGAAGAAAAAAACGCCTCAAACTCGGGGAAGAGCATGCCATGGGGGGATCTGGGCCTCCCTTCTGCGGCGACGCCGCGCGAACCGACTCACCGCAACTGCAGCAGCCCGCGCGGAGGGCGGGCGTGGCGCGCCCAGCGGCTGCCGGGCGGCGGCGCTGCTGCGACGCTTGGGGCTCCCGCGCTTGCAGGGCCCGGCTGGGGAGACCTCCCGGCGGGCACAGCGCGGGGCCGAGAGGGGAGGACGGCGGGGACGTGAAGGTCGTCGTCGCCGTCGTCGTCGTCGTCGTCGTCGTCCGGGCCCAGGGTCAGAGAGCACCAACTCTGCACCTGCATCGATCAAGGCCAGGCCGATCCTGGGCCCAGGATCGGTGTATCTGCCTTCCTGCAAAAGCCACCCTCCTCCCCCCTTCGCCCCTGTTCACTTCCCCCCTTGCTCGCCGCGGAGTACTATGGAGTATTGTGCAGGAGGGGGGGGGGGAGAACAGTGACTGCGAGGCAGGGTCGTATCCGTAACCACTGCCTTGGGGGATCTTGAAGTGCCTCGGCAAGCGGTGGGTACGCCTACATTCGGGCGCCCCCGGGCCCGATCGAGTCCACGTCGACCGCCCACCGAGGTCCTCGAAGACGGCTTCCCCCAGACGGTGGGTCTGACTGAATCCCTACCCCGCACCAAGAACAGCACCAATGCCACGCTGGTCCGACGAAGCGCCCGGCTTCTGCACCCAGGACCGGCGAGCAACTCGGACAGCGTGAAAGACAACCTGCGCGTCCTTCGTAACTGCTCCCGCGGGCAACACTACTATCCATATCCACAGCGTCGTGGACTTGTTAGGAAGGGGTGCCGCAAGGCCGAGACACACTGGATGTGGATAAACATCGAACCTTCTGAGGCAAGATTGGTATCCATATCCAGTGCGCCTCCGGCTTCTGGGGAAGAGAGCCCAGAGCTCCAAGACGCACTGGATGTATATATAATAACTATTGCCCGCAGCTCCTTCCTTTCCCCGCGACGAAGCGGAGGAGCGGCTCTGCTCCACGTGCCGCCTCGTCCCCCCTCCTCCTGCTGCACCGCCCGAGGCCGAAGAGCTCGAGGAACGAACAACGGCGTCTGGCCATCGCTCGGACGTCCTTTTCCTGCTTTTTTTCGGTGTCGTGCGTGGTTTTTCTCGCGAAATGATCAAGGATGCTCCTCGATGGTCCTCGCCGAAGGAAAAATGCACGCGTCCGAGCGATGCCAAGGCGTTGCGAGAAGAGAGGAAAACCTGCGTACACAGAAACTTTTGGCGCTGCGGGCGGATCTCTTGGATATGCGCTGGACCCCCTCCCAGGCGCGCGGAGCGCGCCAGGGGCGGCGCCGGAGGCGCCGCCGGGGAGGGCCCAGCGAGGATCTCAGAAATCCGCGCGGAGCCAAACGTTCTATGTCTACAACGTGTGTTCTCTGTCGAATTGCAGCATCAACCCTTGGACTTCCGCACAGACTGCCCTCGGGTCGATCGGCGGCGAAGATAGGGGCGAATAGTTAGCCCAGGGGCGGGCATTACACGTATATTCGCCGGGGAGCCTCGTCGACGACATAGATCGTCGGCGCCCCTGCATACATGCAATGCTCTCCTCTGGGCTACTCGCCCCTGTCGTCGCCTCTGAGTCGACACTGGCGCCCCCCCCCCCAGACGACCTCCTCCCCGGCGCGGAGAGCGCCGAGGTGCGCGACGGCGCAGGAGGCGCCACCACGGGGAGGGCGGCGCAACGCCCGGCACAGGACATCGGTGTCTGCGCGGACCTCCGAAGTCGTAGGCCCGTGTCCTCCTCCTCCTCCTCCTCCTCCGCCCCGCCTGATGAGATCGGGGAAGCATTGGCAACATATCGACCAACGCTTCGCCTCACCCCAAACGACCCGCGCGCATCGATCCGGCTCGAGAAATGACATCCAAACACGAGCCTGAGAGCCCTGGTCGTGATTTCCACAGCGTTCTTTCTACATTGTTGGACCTCGGGGAGGGGCGGAGGGGGAGAGAGAGAGAGAGAGAGAGACACACACATGGGGAGAGAGAGGGGCGGATCCACGGCGGGGGGACCGAGTTCGTGGGTGTCTTTTCGCACCTGTCAGGCCCCCCGATGCCTCCAGAGGCATCTGCAAGTCTCTGGAGACCTTCGAAGAACTCTCGGAACCTCATGGGGCACGATGAGGACGATAGGGCCTCCAGGTGGTGAGCATCAGCTCGAGCGTCACAGCGGGCCCAACCAATTCCCACCTCCCCTGATGTAAAGTTGGATCCAACGTTGCCGAACCTCATCGCTTGACTTCTTGCCAAAGGTCTGGCCACTTAGATGTGAAATCGACCCCGTTTCTTGTCATCGCTCGGATCACCCGAGAACGCGGGGCAAGCCGACCCCAATCCGACTCTTTGGTGTAATCGACTGGACCGACAATTTGGGGTCCTATTTGTCGACATACAATGGGAGGACGTCCAGCATCGAAAGGGGTGCGTCTAGATAGCCCCCTGGGGGGTGTATCCTTGAACTCCCCTTCTGTTGGCGACGCACACGATGGGGTGACGCGACGGGGGTGGGCTTCTAAAGAAACGGCGTGGCTTCTAAAAGGCAGAGGGGGCTTCTTCGAGGCCCTCCCGGCTTCGAAGAAGCCTTCGCTGAAGCCTCGGGATCCATCCAGGAATGCCCCTGCCTTCCAAGAAGCCTTCCGCCTTCTTTAGAAGAAGTGACACCGCCATAAACATACACTTTTGGCGCTCCGAAGGTTTCTTGGATACGCGCTGGACCCTCATCCCGGGCGCGCGGAGCGCGCCAGGGGCGGCGCCGGAGGCGCTGCCGGGGGTCCCAGCGCCGATCCAAGGAATCTGCGCGGATCGCCAAAAGTTTATGACGTTCTTCGTTTTCGTTTGTTAGACGGATGCCCCCCTCGCTAGGGAGCCCACAAAAGACGTACGCGCCCAACTATGTACTTGAACACGGGCCCTTGACCCGCGAGACCTGCCGCGTGATACGAACATTCGCGCAATGCGCACTCTCGAAACCAGCGTGGAATCATGTACGTGTACGTCCTTCGTTTGCTCCTGACTCGCGCCACCCCTCGTGGGCGTGGGCGCCGCCAGTTGGGAACGGCCAGCTCTGCTCGGGGATCTGGGGCGGAACGCCGCCCGCGAGAAAGAGGATGGCGTTCGGACCGGCGGCCAGCACGACCACGTCCTCGGCAGCGTGGCGTCGAACGAGGCGCCCCTCTGCGCTCCCCCCGGGCTCGCGCCGGCCAGGGCGCAGGTGCGGGCGGCCTCGGGGCGGCGCGTCGCGCTCTGCGAGCTGTTCAATCAGCGTGCGGGGGGGGGGGGAGGGAGGAAGAGGAGGTAAGGTATGAAGGAAGGAGTATTTTCCAGCAGTTTCAAGGAGGGAAGGAGGAGGGAGAGGGAGAGGAGGATGAGCGAGGTAGAAGGGAGGAGGGAGGAGGGAGTGGTGGGATGAGGAGGAGGAGGAATGAGGAGGAGGGAATGAGAGAAGAGGATGAGGATGAGGAGGAGGAGAGTCGGAGAGGAGAGAGGATGAGAGGTAGGAGGATGAGGGAGAGGAGGTAGGAGTTGGAGAGGAGAGCAGGAGGACAGGTGACGATGAGGAGAGGAGGCGGAGGAAAGGCGGTGGACGGTGAGGCGAGGATGGAGGTATGAGTAGGCGGAGGAGGAGGAGGAGGAGGAGGAGGAGGAGGAAGGGGGGAAGGATGAGGAGGAGGAGGAGGAGGAAGAGGAGGAAGAGGAGGAGGAGGAGGAGGAGGAGGAAGAGGAGGAAGAGGAGGAGGAGGAGGAGAAGGAGGAGGAGGAGGAGGGTAAGGAGGGGTGGGTGTCCTTCGCGAGGCGTGGACGGGTGGGACCGCTCTCGAGGGGGTGGGCTCTGTGAGCGTGGGGGAGGGGACGGATCAGGCCGTCTGGCGGGGTGGCGCCACTAGAGGCATCCTAGATGGGGTCGGAGCAGACGGGGTCGGAGGATCACGCCTCATCGCCAATACCTCGGCGATACATCGGTGATGCATCGGTGATGCATCGGTGATGCTCCGGCGATGCATCGCCGACGTCGGCGATGCATCGGCGACGTCGGCGTGGAGACGGCAATGCGGCACGATCCTCCGATCCCATCTACTCGGACCCAATGCAGGAGGGCTACAACCACCCGTGGGGGGCTGATTAAACAATGTGGTGTGCACATCGACGAACGACGCTTGCGCAGCACAGTCGGGAAGGACACATCATCCTCTGCAGGCACTGACCCCGCACAGGCGTGAATCGGCTACCTGCCAGAGAGCAGTGCCGATGAACGCACTCTCGACGCTGCTTCCCTGCAGCAGTGCTGCACCCTATCGTGTCCTGCGGGGCTTTGCTCATATCTGCGCTGCTCGTGCCTGCTTCATCCGTCCAAATCCTGCTCTAGACGACCCTTCTCTATTCTACCGTACTCTGTTCAACTTTGCCCCGCTCTACTCTACTATGCTCTGACCCATCATGCTCCGCTATGCTCTAACGGCTGCGAGGGGGCAAGCCCAGAGATACGATGTCGTGATTTTTTCAATACGCGGTCCCCAGAAGTCTTCACCCATTCCCCAGGACCGGTTTTTCATCCTGAGTCGTTTTTTGACGGTCCCGAGGCCCAGCGAGGGCCCCTGGGGGCCGAAATTTGCGAGAAACCTCCGTCTTGATGTTTTCAACACGCTGGATCCCTGGGAGCCAGACCCCCATGCCCACGCACAAATGGGCTGGCACTTCCCCGCCTCGAACCTCTCGGGGCCCGCTCCGGGCTCCTGCCTCCCAGGCCCGGCAGCCCCCCCAGGACGACACCGCGCATCTTCTGGCGGCGCGCACTAGGCGGCGGGGGGGGGGGAAGGAGGGAGACCGTCTTCGAAAACGGCGACAGCGACGCAGGGAGAGGGGGAGGGGAGGGAGGGAGACCGTCTTCGAAAACGGCGACAGCGACGCAGGGAGAGGGGGAGGGGGGAGGGGGAGGGGGAGACCGTCTTCGAAGAGAGGCTGCTTCTCTCAGAAGACGCCTGCGCTGAGTCTCCAGTTGAGCCCGGCGCCTTCTGAGGAGCAAGGGTGCTTTGAAGAACCCCTCCCCCACCCCACCCCCTGGCCATCGCTCGGACGTCAATTCCCTGTGTTTCGTTCCGTTTCGTGCGCGGTTTTTTCGCCAAATGGTCAAGGATGCTCCTCGATG